AGTGGAAGTTAACGATCTTCAAGAACCAATAACGAAGCTCCAAGAATCAAGATTCTAAAGCTTGGACACGGACGATTGAGCTGGTGAAAGACTACTCCACCAAAGAACTCAACAACCACCATGAAAAAGAATCAAAACAGAGGAAGAACACAGGATCGGAGTTGGCGATTAGCCTAGACTGGCTCTGATACCATGTTAAGCATTATGCAGGAAGAAGAGAACAAAGAGATTATAGAAGAAGAAGGAGGAAACAGAGGAAGCTTAGAGAGAGAAAGAGAATGATTTTTCACTTGTATTTTCTTGATTGATTCAATGGTTCCAATGATACATTTATATAGAAGAGTACTGAGCTAACTGCCTTACCTGAATCTCATACTTAGCAACAATCCTAACTGCCTTATCTTATTTGGTTATATACTCTAACAAAAAAAACCTTCAGTTGAACCATTGGTAAGGATAGAGAGATGAGATGAAGCTAGAATAGAACGAATCCAATCCACAAAATCTATTGAAAAACCTCAAAACCCGTATTAAGTATCTCTACACCCACTTACTGTCCACACCCACATTCTACTTGGTTTGTCTACTATTATATCTTTAGCCCAACATTAGTTTCAAAAGTAATGTATTTCCATTGTTTGTCATCGTCATAGCAATGGTCCCTCAACTTTAATCAAATTGGAGCAATGCTCAATCAACTAAAAATCAATTACCATTGGTCTCTCAACTCATCAAAATGTGTAGCTATGGTCATTTTCGTCAACTTCATCAGAATTTTGTCAAAATAAGTTATGTTTGAGGGATCATTACTACAATTGGGATCCCTTAACTCATCAAAAGATGTAGCTATGGTCATTTTCATCAATTTCGTCAGAATTTTGTCAAAATGAGTTATATTGGAATGACCATTTCTACAATTGGATTAAAGTTGAGGGACCATTGCTTCAATTGGGATCAAAGTTGAGGGATCATTTCTCTAGTTGGAATAAAATTGAGGGACCAATGGTAATGGATTTTTAGTTGAGGGACCATAGTTGCACGTTTTGATGAGTTGAGGGACCAATGGTGATGTATTTTTAGTTGAAGGACCATTACTCCAATTGAGTTAAAGTTAAGGGACTATAGCTACAATTTACTCTCTTCTACATAATTGATATTATGATAAGCTGCATCAATCTCTCTCTTTCTCTCTTAAAAGAAACCCTGATTAAAACCAAATGTAAAATAAATAAATAAAGAATCATATATGAAAATCAACAAAAAACAAAAAAATCAAAAATGTTGAAAAATACATAACTCCAAACCAAACAAAACCTTTTGAATTTACTCAACAAAGACGATGGAAGGCTTTGGCCGGAAGGGGTTAGAGGAGAGTGTTGAGAATGAATCTCACAATGATAGGAGAAGAGACCTTGCAAAGACGGTTTTATGGTAGATCTCAATTTCTTCATGGTAATAGAGTAGGTTGTCCCACATGTGAAAACCAACAACCACATGTACTTCATGTTATTCCGTTTGTATTGTCCACGTGTTAGTCTTGAAAATTCAACACAAGTGAGGGGGCATATTGAGAATGAATCTCATATTTATGGTGGAACCCAATGGTTGTATATATAATATAATAAAAAAGACAATAAATGTTAAAAATTTAAGTTTAGTGTAGAAATACAGAAGATGAATTTGATAAAATTTCCCCTTAATTAGTAATAAACACATAATATCCAAGAAATTGATGAATTTTTCCTATGCTGGACAAAAGTAGGGGCACATCAAGAAAAGTCCATTTCCATTTTCCATTTAACGTACACTGTCCAGATTCGTAGAAAGACCAATGGATGATACGATACCAATTTTTTCTTTTATTTTTAATATTATTATATAGAATAAGAGGACAGTAACCATGTGATTAATCGGAACCGGATCCCCTCTTGAGCACGGGACCGGAGCTTAATGAGCAGTCTATCTAGGTTTTTGAAATTTGATCCAATGGTTACAAATAGGGGTTTTTAAAAAAAAAATTATAATAACTACAGCCGTTGGATCAACTTTCAAGGGCCCAGATGGGCTGCCCAGCAGGCTCCGATCCCCATGCTCAGGAGCGGATCCTGATCCTGATTAATCCAACATGATCCTCTCTAGATCATTTTGGTGAGGATTCTGGAAATCCGTGAATCGTGTCCATTTATCGTACATCGTGCGATCAGTTTTTTGTCAGTTTATGTTTATTTTTAAATAAAAATATTTAAAATAATTTTTAACTATACGATGTACGATAAATGGACACCATTTGTGGATCTCCGGGATCAAGAACCGGCGAAGATCCGGACTCGTGATTAATTACTTCAACATAGAAGCTGGTCAAATTTAGAACTTGCCTGCATAGTTGCAGGCATTATAAAATTAATTTTTCTAATGTTCTGTAGTAAAATTCTTACGTACTCACTCACAAATTCACAAACTTAGAAGTTCATCGTAGCGAAGTGGATCGTTATACCAAATTATTATTGACAAGTTCTGCAGATTAAATGTTCCAAAACGATAAAAGTTTGAACTTAGAGCATATCCAGGAATGTAATGAGAACTTCTATATCATCTCTTTTAGCATCTTTTGTTACTGTTCATGTTCCAACGTCTGTAAATACATAGGGTTGTTGTCCGAAAAATGTGTAGATTTAGATTTCACATCTTGAAATTAAACCCATTTAACAGTTTCCAATGTCGGAGCATATTTAAAACTGCTTTCATCGCCATCCTTCTATCTGGAAGTACGAAGAAGAAGCTAAAATCAACTTTACTCGCCGAATTTAACTTCTCCCGTCGAAGATAACTCTTGTGAGAACGTTTTTTCTTTTCTTTTTCGACAAGCAATGTTGTTAATCGATGAGTACTGTCCTAGCAAAAATGGAAGACAAAATAAAAGGCAATAGTAGGCTCCAATTGACTGGTGAAAGAGATCAGTGGTCCAACAGAAATGGTACTGTCATTACATCTTCGGGTCTCTATCCGATCGAGATGTGCACATATCTGCAACCAAAAATAAGGTTCTGCACGGAGCAAACATGCATGCATGCATATTTGGACCACCAAATTTTTTGGCACAAAAGGCTATATCCACACACATGTACGCACATACATTATTATTATTATATATGTGTATACACACACACACACACACATATATGCGTCGGTGAAAAATACAAAAAGTCATGACTTGTAACATATGTGACAGCTAGAGATAGAGAAGCAGAGCCAGTGAGAGGGAAAAACACGGTAACCGTACGTTTGAAAATAGCTGGACCTCAATTGAAAAGATTCAATATGAAACTTGGAGATGAAGATTGTTATTAGCATTATTTGATATGTCCCCAAACCGACAAGCCTACTGGCTAACGCTTTTGTTTGCTGCTATAGCAGATGGAAGAATCTAGGTTATGACACATCGCACATGACTAGTTCTTGTATTTGCTGTAAAATTTGCAATGGGAGCTTGGACCTTGAATTGCAAGAGGAATATTTGGAGCAATTACATTCGAAAACAACATTATTGAATTTTTCAATTACATTCGCAAACCACGTTATTCCGAGAATTCTTAGATAGTTTATTTTGTTGGGGTAGTGATTTTAGCATTCTCATCAGTTTAACTTATGCCAGTCAGAATGTGACAAAGAAATGTAGGGATTCCCAAAATTGCAGTGAAATGGTTGTTTCGTTAATAAAAAATTAAATGATTATCGAGTAGCTGGCTTCCGTTGAATTTGTATTACAAGACAAAGTGGGACATTGTCATGGAATGTAAGACGTCAAAGTAGGGATTTATAAATAGTTTAAATTCGACTAGACAGCCATCTGATATGTGCCGCGCGTATATATTTAATTTGTAGCTAAGTTGTGATACATGTATAGATTTGATAGCTTGAAACCGAGCGGTGTAAACCGTGTAAAACGCCAGAATATAGAATGTCAAAAAGGAACCAAAGCTTGAGAATCTCTTAAAAGGGTCTTGGAAATGTGTCTTGGAGTTTCACACTCGTGTGTATAAGATAAGTAAAACTTTCAGAGACATATAGCTATATGTCATTTGTTTCTGTGTTTATATCTGTCATCACGTTATCTATTGCATTTCATGAGATATAAACGGGATTTCTCATCACGTTTCATGAGATATAAGCGGAATCGTCACACGTACAACACCACATGAAAAATAGAAGAAGATAATAACAATGATTATGAACACCGTCAAACTGAAACTATTACGTTAAGATCATACAAAATTGCTCCACTTATACCCCACGAGAAATTCCCAATATGCTCGAGAAAGTTTACTGAAGCAAAAGCACATTCCCGGTTGGAAGTACGATTATGCAACATGATTGAGAACTTAACAAGGAGAAATGTGACGTAAATAAAAAATGACTAGAACGATACAATAATAACAACATAATATGCTAAATTGTCTAAAATAGCTAGAACAACATGTATTAATACATTAAAATCTTCGTAACTCATCCACGGTAGCCCCACCTGCATATGTATATATGCGGTACTACAGTACTTGAATATATCACAAAACAGGGATGGAGGAAACAAAACTATACCTCTCAATACAATTTCAAACACAGCATAATTCATGGAGATGATATCTAGATGTTTCGATTTTCCACATGGTATGCGTTTTTCTTCAGCCACTTACACATGCTACATGCACATGACAAACCTATAAATATAAGAACCGGATGTATTTCATGCATGCATCTTCCCTTACAAGTAGAAGCAGTAGGACTCAGTGACTTGTATGATTGAAATTTCAACTTCGCGTGCTTCCTGCTAATGTTGAAAACTACAATACTTCAATCTTCATGCATGTAGCAATCAAATAATCCAAGAATTTTACTTGTTCAGATTGTTTATATTCTCTAAGTGAAAGTTTCTAGCGTGCACTGGGGGTGAAAGTTAATAGCTGTGCATTAAAGATCACATTTACTAGGGTAAAACATAAAATTATATATGGAAACGAAAGAATTGATATTATGCAATAAATTAATGAAAAGCCCCAGTGGGCAAAACAGAAGAAGATGGACCAGTATATCGCGTAATGGACATGTCCAAAATGATCAGTTCAGTTTCTAGCTAATTGAGAATTAATTAATAAACAAACCTAGCTCTCAAACCATGTCTTGAGATAACGCTTGCTACATATCCTCTCTTCTAAGCTGTTTAGCAAAGCAGTAATAAGAACATCCCTTTTCTCAGCCCTAGCCTCCTCCCTCATCCTCCTTTGCTCCTCCCTCTCCCTCCATCTCGTCTCCATCATTATCCTCTCGTTCTCTAATGCTTCCATCTTCTGCCTCCACTCCATCTCCTTCAACCGCCTCTCATTCTCCCTCGCTTGAAACTCCTCTCTCCATTGCATCTCCATTTGCATTTGTTGCTTCATGAACTCTTCCAATAACTCCCTTACATTATTTCCACTTGCGCTGCTGCTTCCTATATTGCTCATCTTCATCTTCTTCTTCTTGTTCTTCCCCGTGCTTCCCTTATTCTCTGCCTCGCTATCCTCGTTATCTTCCTCGTCGTCTGAAGAAAGCGTTTTCTTCTTCGACCCGCTTGCAGCTCCGCTTTCTTCTGCCCACAGCATTCTCTGCATCCGTGCAGCGAAAATCTCTTGTAGCTCGTTGTAAAACGGGAATTGCTGCCTCATAGCTTCCGGCTCCATTGTCTCAAAACCCTAAATAATCATAAAGCAAGAAATAAATACCTACATAATAGTACTGTATATTTATCAAACACATGAAGGGTATGTGTTGAAGATTTGCAATAGGCTTGTATCTCAGCTTATAAAGAACATTCACTCCTACACCTTGGGTCTTCAGTTTGATTCTCCTTAAGTCTTGAAGATTTGGGTAGAGGAAATAAGGAAAAGAAAATCCTTAAATGAATCAGTGTGTTCTTCAAGGTGTATGTCGATTAGATGGAAGATTAATTAGTTTGATTAGATTGGTTTAACTTTATTAATCTAGTATTCATTTGGGTTTAATAACATGTTTACCTTGTAACGAGTAACGAGGTTTTTCCACTTGCACTTGCACTGTTCGGCGCTGCGATGGTGACCTTTTTCCTTCATCTTCGTAGAAATCACTTCCCACAGAAGCTTGTTTCTCTTCGTCTCCATGAAAGTCTGATCTAGCTCGGCTCTGATCAGAAGCAAGTCCTTCGTCTCCTGCACGCTCCATTGAGGGAACCTATCACTCGTGTCCACGTGTACAGTCACAGTACTAAGATGTTGCTGCTGAAGCTGCTGCTGTTGTTGAAGCTGAAGCTGCTGATGGTGTTGCTGCTGATGACGTTGATAATGATGAGGATGATGTTCCATGACCACAAACGCAATCTTAAAAAACAAAAGTGCTTTCGTGAAGATTAAGCTTTTGGGGTTCGGAAAAGCCGATGGGATTCAAAGAAGGAGAAGGATAAAGCTTTGATTATATGAAGGATGGTGTGAATGGAAGGTGTGAATCCATAAGGACGAAAAAAAAAGAGAGAGAGAATTTGATCATCTCTTCCTTTAATCGCTTCAAAGAAAGTGTAGTTTAATTATTCTTCGTTCAGATTTGATAGATTTCTGAAAAAAAAATGAATTAAAACAAAAAGAAAGTAAGAAAGACAAGGAAGGAAGGAAGGAAGGAAAAGAAAATCTTTATTGCTTCTTGCTGTTGAGCTTCTCATCTGTCTACGCGGAAACTCATTGCCCTTTTCCGTTTCTCTCTCTACTTTCTCTCTCTATCTCTTGTTTTTGTGTACATACGTGATCCCATTTGTTCCCATTGCGTTTACGTGTCGTCAGGCTTACGAGAAAAGTCTTATTCTTTGCGAGAGATTTTTGATGAAACCAAACGGAATAATACATCAAATGTCATTATATAAAAAGTAGAATTTATGTGTTGCAAAGTTAATAATTTAAAAAAAAAAAATCACCATTTATATAAAAAGATGTAATGAACTGTCATGTTATGGTCATAATGAAAATTTTCAAATTCTCTGCACCCTGTTTTCCGTTGAATCTTGCACTCCAAGCCTTTTAGTTATTTTAATTTAATTTAATTTTAGTTCTTCAAGTTTCTGGTATTTGCTTTTTGATGCGTGTGAGGTGACAACAAAGATAAGGGGAGGCTTCCAGATACTGTGTGTGTCGCAACTCGCAAGGCGGCAAAGGGCCTTGATTTGCAAGCTTTTGCATGAACTTTTAAATCTAAAGGTGCAAAAGGCTTTTATGTATATCTTGATCGGACTTTCTTTTTGTGATGTTGTATTTTATATGCTGAGTTTTACTAAAAAGAAACGGCTTTTAGTAATTTAAAAAAAAAAGTGTATGAGAAGTAAAAGTTATTTAGTTGAATAATTAGAACGCTTATACCCTTGTACTCTTTGAATCTTTGTCTTTCTTATTATTTTCATAAAAAAAGAGTGAGCTCTCGATCTATAATTACTAATTAGCATCAATTGTTTAGGGGGTTTTCTTTGATAAGTGAAACAAATCCAATTTATGTAAACTACTCCCAGTCCCCGTGGCGGATTTAGGAAAGAGCTATATGGAATCATATTTGCCACCACCTTCAACTATAATGTATGTTTAACATACACATAATTATCTGTCACGTGTCCTTTCATCTAATCTCACTGTTTTAAAAATCTCTGTCTAGTGCCGCCAAGCGCCATCTAGGCACTAGGCGGCTTGCCAACGCCCTGATTAATCCCCAAGCTTTGAAAATTAGGAAATGGCACCTAGACCTCCTTAGGCGTCCGCCTAACCCGCCTAGGCACCCGCTTGGCCTGCCTAGGTTGCGTTTCTCGCTTAGATAGAAAATTGTTAACTTTCATTTTGCATTTTATTTTTGTTCAATAAATTAAAAGAGACTTGTTGAATACTTGGATGAACACTCATTATATGCTTTGGTCCCAATATTTTTAATATGTTATAATGCTTTAACCTATATGGCATTTTAGTTTTTAATTTATATATCCCAATGCAATTATGTATTTTTTTAAGTATAAAATAAGCACTTATTTATACAATTTATGATAAATTTACTTAATCTGTCTAGGCAGGGGCGCTTAGCCGCCTAAACGTTAGGCCCGAGCCCACTGCCTAGACGCTTGATCCCTACCCACTGCCCGACTAGCACTTTGGTCATTTTTTTTTCAAAATTGAAAAAGTAACATTGAATGTGAAAGTTAATTAATTAGATTTAAGTGAAAAAATAAGTAACATATGATTAGGTGTATGATAAGCATACACCATAATTATGGTAGTGAGCAAATACTCCCGAGCTACGTGAGCCATTGCAGAGGGCCCAATTGAAGAGGCTGCCAAAGTTTTTTGCACCTCATAATATATGATTTATCCAATAATAAAAAAAGAATATTAGATTAATTCTCTCACATAATCCTATAATCATATTCCTATTCTAAGAAAATCTCGAAATAAGTGAGATCACTCAATTATTTGGAGTGAGAGATGCTAACATTTTCGATTGAAGTCTGTATTTCACTGGTTTTCTGAATTTGACAATTGTCTCTTAATTGATAATTAGTTTTTAGGTTTAAAAGTTTATGTTAGTTTTAGTAATTAAATTTTCTTATTGAATATTTGTACGATGTTTAAAATAAAAATTATTAGTAACTGTTTCTATCAAATGCAAAATAGTATTTGACAAATACATATTGATACTACAGTTTTCTTTTTACTTATAAATGAGAGGCTTTAAGTTAGATTTTCGTTAAAAATATGTTTAAACTATTATGGCTCACCTATCTCATGTTCCAATGTGAATATATATGTGATTAGTAAGTATTAGTATTTTCTTGAAAGACTATCAAGAGGGCTCTATTTATAATTTTTTGCACATAAATAACTGCTAAATTCTCAAAAACGGCACTGACTACTTTTATAAATCAATTTATAAGCTTTTTGTATATATTTCTGTAATTTTTTAATTATGTACAACTATTTTAAAAGAAATTTATTATTATTAGGAAAGGATAGTTCAAAAGTATTAAAATAATTTCGAAGATTATGAAATTTGAAACCTGAAACATATGGGCAAAATCTCAACAAGCAACACACTGTCCACTAAAATATATGTACAATTTTGATTATAAAAAGGATTTCATTTTTCCAACTATATAATAATAGCATAAAATTGGAAAAAAAAAATTACCATCCTTTTCCAAAAGAAAATTTAATCAGCTACGCGTTATTCTGCAATGTCTCGTGTGTCGACCCCTACCACCTCCTTCCACGTGGCCTGCATGCAGATACAATAAACGAGAATACCCTGGACCCACCAGTCTCATGGTTCACACCTATGGTTGCTGTGGCCCAGCACGCCACGTCATATTCTTGGTCGGTAAGATTACCAAAATGGTCATGGACACTTGGCGCAGAAGTGGAGGGAAGGAGAGGGATGGACGGACCGACTTACGTGGATTTTGTGGAATTTCACAAGTTTGAATTGGGAGGTAAAAGTGGTAAAACGTCGTTTGTTGAAGGAGATGGTGTTGTAATTGTGTATTTCTATGGTGAGACCAGGGTGAAGCCAATTTCTTTGCTGACCTCAAGGGTACCTTAATCAAGTTTAACTTGTCATCAAACCTAATTGTACCTAATTTGTTTAATTTTTATGAGTTGAGAGGTTCAGTTAATGTTCTCTTTGTCATATTGTTTCGTAAGTATGAGATGTTGAGTGACGCTAATAATTTTCTCATTGAAACTTTCTCACTTAACTTTTTCGATTGTCTTTCTCATCATGCATATTTCAAGATGATATGAGACTTCTATTGTATAGTTCACCTTTTAAAGATTGCCAAAAATACTGCAAATATAAGTATCTAACAGTTATCTAATAAATAGACGAACTATATGTTCTTTTACAAATATAAGTATCTAACAATTATCTAATAAATAGACGAATTATATGTTCTTCAGTTAAACACTTAAAATTGACAACGTTAATTGACAATTTCTTATTAGGTAAGTTTTTACGGAGTTGATCTTTAAAAATGGACTAGAAAACAGTTTTAATCATTGTGCAACATTAAAAGACGAGAATAAAAACCTAAATGATGGAAACAAGAGGTTTGGCTAAGAAGATCAGTAACATCCCCGCAAATACTAGTAATTGATTGGTAATTTTCTCATACTTTATATATTCTCAAATCTAGAAGTCCGATGTTTAAGATTTTCCCACAAAAAAATTGTAAAGAAAATTAACTTGGTTGACACACTTCACCTACTATATTACATAAATAGTGGAAAATTAAAAAAAAATTAACAAAAGATTGACAATATTTTTAGTTTTTTTCATTTAGCAAACGTCAATATTTGTAGTTGGAAATTGAAACGACTTTGACTAAAGCAAATCGGACTAAATATATAATTTTGCTCTTTCAAATTCAAAGTTTTTAATTCAAAATTCCAAGACTTGTGTTTGGTTGAAAATATATATTATAAGTGGTGAAGTTGAACAAGTCAAATTCAAAGGGTGTGCAGCAAGAAACCGATGGTTGGCTTCCATATGTATTATCTGAAATGGGGAGAGCGACCTCGTGGGCTCAGTTGGTGTCGTCAAATTGTCCACCAAATTAAGCGTTGGTCGAGGTGTGCATGCATGACACTTAGTGAATAATTAATCAAGGATATCGGCGTCAATTTGGTTTTCCGTACGGTGAGGAATAAAAAAAAAAGAAAAAAATTAGGTTCTCATTCCTTATTTTCATATTACATTGATTGAAATCTTATTATTTTTTTATTTTAGATCAAGGTCCTTTGATTTATTCCATGTCATCATTTTAGTATTTAAAATATTACACATCATCATAAATGAAATCTTATCCCTTTGTGCATTTAAGGCAAAATAAACTATATGAGTAAGTTTGAAAAAAGGAAAATCCATTTGAACTCCTCCATTCTTCTTCTTCCCTTATGCACATCCGGAATCTACAACACCCCAAATCCAATTTTCTCCATTTTTTCTCCATTCATGAATTGATCCAATGCATATATGTTTAATAAACCTATTGTGATTAAAATACAAATTACCATCAATGGTTTTATCAGCTTGTGAGATTTGTGTGGCATAGGCAAGGCAATGCAGGCATCACTTTCTCTAGGAATCTGGTTGATTCAAACATGCAGAGACTGTAGAGTGAGCGGGCTATGTGAAAACTGTACCATTCTGAAGTCATCTTCTTTTGTTCTTTATATATTTTCTTTTCCTTTTATTATTATATATTAGTCTTGATTATTCAATATATGGTTGGCTACACTTATATCCATGGGTACATTTTTAATCTACATGTTTCGTTCGAATATATCTATTGCTATAATATGTTTTGGTTGGTTCAAATTCGTTTTACATAAATATATGGGTACAAAGTTTTTGGAGAATATTATGTAAAATGGTTTTTAAGGTTGCTGCATTTTACACTTGCATGTCTATAAAACAATGTGGTATGATGTACATTCTTTTCCTTGAGTTTTTAAATGTACCCATGAGTTTTCTTATAAATTCGTTATGTACCCATATGCTATTTATATTATGGGTACATACATTATTTTTTGTCTAAGTTCGTGGGTACATTGCTTTTGTATGTATGAATTCATGCGGTACATTATTTCCCTTAATACTGGTCAATGAAATTCACAAAAATATGTGCAGTGTGCA